CTACTACTACTACTACTACTACTACCACTACTACTACTACTACTACTACTACTACTACTACTACTACTACTACTACTACCACTACTACTACTACTACTACTATAGCTACTACTACTATAGCTACTACTACTACTACTACTACTACTACTACTACTACTACTACTACTACTCACCAATGCTAGTTCCTCCCGATTCGTGACCATAGAAGCCTCACTATCCCCCTCAGGCGCACTAAATTCAACATTCCCCAAGCCTGATAAAGACCTACACCACCCCAAACAAGCATATCCCCTCTCACGTAGTATCGCAGCCGCCAAGCTGAATATGTGTTCAATGCCCTCCTTCCCATACCCTATAACCGTCATAGCATGCACCGTCCCTAAAGGGCCGATAACAGCAACTCCACCGTAATAGTAGTAGTAACCACGTTACGTTCAAAGCCCTCCAGGTCCAGACCATGGGACAGCTTATGTACAGCAGTGTCGCGGGTGAGGTACGTAAAACTAAGAATAGTAGCCTCTACCATTTGAGCACGCCCCGAGCCCGTAACGACTAGTGAACAATAACCATAATCCAGGGTGCCCAAGAAAAATGTGAGTTTTTTTGATAACTCTCTGCCACCATCTGAAAGCCCTTCACGCGAACTTTCGAATGTTATGGAATATTATGGATATTCAACTTGCAAAAAGGCTATTCAACATAGTACATTTTTTCTTTTGACACCCCGTACATGATAATACATTTCTAACACTTCGAACTCGAAATTTTCGAGGGTTCAGGTTCCTAATCAGCGAAGTCACAACAATTTTCCAATTAAGACTATTAAAATAGGAGCATACTATTCAACGACCCCACCACAACAGTGTACCATGAGTGATCTGACAACCCTCTGAGTTGGATCTGCATACTCTGCATGCCTTCTCCATCCAGTATTTGTGGATAGCTGTAAACACCTACACTACTACATATTTGCACGCATGCACAAGACTAACCTACGCCCATCATCCGTCCTCCTACCCACCGCTGCTGCCGCGCATATTTGATAGAAAATATGGAAATTCCGTTCGCCTTGTATTTGATTCGTCACCCTTATCTTTTCCAATAGGTAACTAACATACCACAAATCCTCCAACTCTCACAGCTCACCTCTCCCTACGTTTCTATTCTGGCGCCCTTCAGCCGTAAGTGATCCTTCTCGCCGTCAAACTGCAGCTGTATAAACTTACCAAACCGTGATGAGTTGTCGTTCCGAAGTGTACCTATTTTTCATCGTTATCTTACATACCACTCCTTTCCCATCACATGCGTTCCCAAAGGCCTCTAACAATGGGTTTGACTCCAACACTTGTCTGTTAATATCACTTTTAGAAGCCCTACCACAGGCCGATAGGAACTGCATTACCTACACTTCAACGACCTCTACCAAGACGACCAAAGCGGGGCCAACTCACAAGCTTAGTGGTTTCCGTCTTGCCAGCTCCTGATTCACCACTGATGAGTATAGACTGGGAAACTCCTTGTCGGACCGACGACTCTCCACACATGCCCTGTAGTAGATGTCATAGCAGAAGCACAGGAGGAGAGTATTCGACCAACCTTATAAGCTCGAAGGGCCGTAGAGAAGACATGTGGAGTATGAATGAGGTTCTCAGAATCCAACAGAAACCTACTTCCGTAACCAGAGTACAGCGAAAGCGTTATCCTCACCTGTCAACGACGGTCTTCTCATACAACCCTTGAATGCCCTTGAATGGATTAACAGCTAGAAGTATAGGGCCACACATAGTGTACAGCTGATCTCTATTGAATCGGTTCTGACAATAACATGGAATGGAAGCCTAACAGCATAGCCCGTCCTACCTGGAGAACTTGTAGTAGAGCAGGTTCATGTAAATGCTTGAGTGAAGTGAGGTCATCGACATCCTCCTTCCCAAATGCCCTCGATACGGGATACCTGCACCGTGTGGTAGTCGATAAAGAGTAGTGCTCCTACACTTGGCAATCCCTTGGTACCACAACTTCCTGAACATCCTAAATATTCAATCATGACGCCACATACAACCAAGCATTGTCCAGCACACCTCAACAAGCCTCACTATGAGAGCATTGTTTTCATCTACTCCCACGACCTGACCGAACCCCCCATTGGTCAGCAACAAGGCGGCCTACCATAGTGCTCTACCTTTCCAACCTGCCATGCTTCATCACTATCCACAGGCACCCATACTCTATTCCCTATCTCTGCTGAGCTTGTTGTTACTGCTGTTGGTGGTAATGGGGACCAATCACTCCCCGCATAGGACGCCTTCTTAGGAGTACGATACCTCCTCACCGACGATCGATGCTTCACAGTGCTTTTACGGCGACGACTATGTGGCAGCATTTAAATTTACTTTCACCCACAGAACCATACCGTACATTGATTGCACTAATACGCAAGATAGAGACCCTAAGAGTCCTCTCATTTCGGAAACCTTGCGCCGCAGTGTTCGATATCAGCGCATGATTAAATCTCGCTCGCCCTAAAATAACTAAATGAAGTGGTGACACTGGATCTGCAGTAACAGTCTGATCTAAATATCTGTTAATCCTCAATAGTAGACACAGACAAAGATTCTTAGCAATCAATAACGAACCGCTGATAGCTGAACTGACACTCGCCGGCTCTAGCCAAAAATCAGGCAACACTTTAACTAGTCAGGGGCAAACTTTCCAGTTGAACGATCAAAGTGCTGATATCCTGCTAAAACGACTCGAACATTCTGGTAATGCTGTTGCCGTCATATAGCTGTTATATCACGCCCATTAAGATAATGCTAGTAACAGCGTTGTGTGTTGCCATAATCATGAGGCCTGTCATCCTATAGCACCTATCAGCCTATAGTCACTCTATACTGTCCCCACTTCTCATGGTAGGAGACCACTCAATCTTCATTTTTCCATATGGCGATCTTGCGCTATATCGTGCGACGTACGTGACATGTGACACGTATCACTGTCACCGTAATTTCGCCCGCCCTCGATGATTTCAGGACGAGACGGATGAACATATGTACTAGCCGTCTCGTACCTCTTTTGCTGATGATTCAGTCATGACGCTGTTTTTAGTCCTTGTCTTACGCTTTCTAATGAGCAATACTGGGCCTTTATCGTCTACTATCTATCGTCGCACATTGGAAACGAACCCGGGCTTGAGTTCACAGTCAAGGGCGACAGGCCCCATAACAAACTCAAGGCATGGTTCGACACTTCTCTCACTAATATTAAACTTATAGTGACGGTATTCTCACTGAAAACAAGAAGTCCAGCAGTAGTTATAAATCACAACCACGCTCTTTCTCTTCGTGCATCCACAATAACGCCTTCTCTCGTGTTGGATCTGTCGTAACTCACTTCATGAAAAGAGTTTTGCCTGGCGAGTACAGACTAATCCCTCTAGGTTTCGTACTTTCTAAGTACAGTTATCGTACGTCACAAAGTAGGACGTTCGAGTCGCCTAAACCCACAGGTGCCAATCTTGACACCCAAATTGTTGACACTCACAACACTGTGAATAGAGGAAACGGTATAAGTAACAGGTGTGGTCCGAATAGTAGACAAGCCGAAACGGGGAACTTGCTGCTACTACTGATGATGATACTCCGTTCAATGATAAATTAAGAACTTGTCGGTTCCGGTTGGAATGAGTACATCGACGACGCTGCGCTCTAAAGGCAACAACTATGATCATTCCAAAGGGAAAACCCTCTAGTACTGATTCTGCTCCTCCTGAGGGCTCAGAAGAGAAACTACTGCTGGAAGATGGTTCAGCGTCAGTTTTATCATCATGCGTTCGACCCCACAACCCTCCCAAACCAGAAAGCATCGACCCCTCCTTAGCCGCCTCCTCAGCCGTTTTCTTTGCCTGAAACTCCCTATCCAACCAACACCACTAACAACCAACAATACCGCGGCATGTTTATCTTGGTATTCCTGTACTAACTTTTCCTGCTGCATTTGCATCAATGCTTGTTCCCTATACAAATATATACATCCCCTTCTCATAGGTTTACTCCACTACCTCGGTGTTTGCGATGAGCTTTTCATCAACAGTGCTGATACTCCCTCGATGATCGCCAATAGTATTCCTCCTACTACAGCGTTCTTGCTTGCTGTCTTCCAACCGCCTCTTGCTGCCAATACACCTACAACCCGATTCTTAGGCGATCGCACTCAGTGAAAAATGAAAAAATAATTACAGATTCTGCACCTACGAAAAATTCTCTATCATATAGTTATTTCTGTTTCCTTTCTCCGTGATCGCGAGAAATCGGCCACCGGTGAGCCATAGCATTCCCTTTCGAAACAGGATGAGCCAGAGTTAAGATATTCATATCCAACAACCGAATAAAAGTCTATCTATCGGCCGATCTTTCGAGATATGTGGTCGGTTTCCTCAGCTGAGTTTGGCAGCTCCCTCACTAACTATAGTAGTTTACATACGAATTCGGGTCCGAAAAGTTCCCTAAATGTCCTCCAAATCCCCCCACTGCTCCTGGCTAATACGATATAACAATACAAGATGGTCTTCCTAAAGACCTTGATGATGTTTTTACTAAATATACGCTTCCAAGGATGCCACAGTGTTGATACTCAGAGTAACGCACTATCGTCACCTACAATTCCCCTCCCCCTCGACAGTACCCACCTCCTGTTAAGAATCCAGAGGCAATCGCATTCCAATGGTCATCTCTCTGACGTATATACCTTCAAAATTCGCACGTGATTGGAGACCGAATAAGTATGTACTACTGTAGACTGCAATCAAATGCCGAGAAGGTACCACCCCAAACCGCAAAACTGCTGCCCAGAATAGGGGCCCGTGTCTTGGCTGAATACAAGGCACCTGGCCACGGCAGTAAGTGAACTCCCTTCATCGACCCTGAGGCCCTTCACCATGCAATCGTTCCCCCCGTGGGGAGTTTCGGGCCCCCTTTACAAAGTGCCACAGAAAGCCTCCGACACAGCCCATACCAAAGGCACCACCTGAGAGTGCTCCCGATACACGGCTGATGAACCACAATGGCGTACCTAGATCCTCGACGATCCTATCAGGGCAGGGCTCTCTGGCTGCATCACGATCTGAATCACGGACTTCACGAGTCATATGATGATGAGAAGGAGAGGGAGCAGAAACAACACCAACGTCGATGAAAAACTGCGAGGTATCCTTCAGGCCTCCCAAAGAAACTCGATAAAGGAACAACCGCGATGGTAGATACAAAGAGATGGAAAAAACTACAGCATATCACCGCTCCGTCAGGCGATTGGCATTCATTGAGTTCACTCGTCATCCTCACACACTCCTGAAACGCCCCGCCCTTCAAAGCAGCACTGCTCGTACCCAACAACTTATCATAGCCCATTGAATTCAACGCTAAGATGCAGTATCGGAATATACGTTCAGTTCCCTCAGCCGAGCTCGGGAGGTTCATCACTGCATAATGATACGCAGAAGCCCACCAGAAATATCCTGATACTCATTTTTAATCACCAACACGCATTTTGGAATTTAAACTCTATCGTGAGGATTCGAAACAAATAGAATATCCTTGAGAAGGGCTCGGATGGCGATGTCAAACTTATTAACAATCGCAGTGGGATGAGGAACTACCCTTTAAAAAGATAACGACGTCGCACAAGCAACGATAGCAATGACAATGGGAAGGACCAGGCCCCTAAAAGAGTTCTAGTGCCACTGAAGCACCCTACTGCTTCCTCCCAAAGCGACGACCCAGGATGCTTACACTACCCCATACGACAGTAGTATCAGCAGCTGACAACGACTCTCGCGAATACGCAATAGCAACGTTTTACCCCAACGGTGTACACTCCCCAGAAGGAGGTGATAACATTAGAAAGGAACAACGGAGCCACCGTGAATACGTCTGGCGAGTAACAGCAAACAGACGGCCTTAGCCTGGCAACAGCAACCCATTAGTATCCCCTATAATCTTCAGGCTACTACTCAACATAGTTGAACACCAGAAAGCCTGCTCTTCAAAGTCGTGGCCGGTCGACTTGAACAAAATCTTGCATTCTTGGATCTTCTCCATGGTAGTTTCTGTTTCGAAAATGAAGCGTCTCTGCGTTGTAGGTTTAGTTCCTTCACAGTCGCGGGTGTACAGTGAACTAATTTCAAATCTCAGGACTGATCTCGTTAAGTTTTTCTGAACCCCCGAATGACTTCCAAGATTGTCACTCTCCACGCCCGTGAGATCATAGACTCTCGTGGTAATCCTACCGTCGAGGTCGACCTGACCACCGACAGAGGCATGTTCCGCGCTGCCGTGCCCTCTGGGGCCTCTACCGGGGTCTACGAGGCTCTCGAGCTCAGGGACGGCGATAAGACTAGGTATCTCGGTAAAGGTGTCCAGAAGGCTATCAAAAATGTCAACGACATCATCGCCCCCGCTCTCATCGGCAAGGACGTCACCGATCAGGCTGGTATCGATAAGTTTATGGTTGAGGAGTTGGACAGTACTCAGAACGAGTGGGGCTGGTGCAAGGCCAAGCTCGGTGCCAACGCCATCCTTGCTGTTTCCATGGCCGTCTGCCGTGCCGGTGCTGCTGCTAAAAACATCCCGTTATATAAGCACATTGCCGACATCGGGGGAAAACGCTCCGATCAATTCACGATGCCTGTCCCTTCCTTCAATGTCATCAACGGTGGTTCCCATGCAGGCAACCGCCTTGCTTGTCAAGAATTCATGATCCTTCCTGTCGGAGCCACCTCGTTCAAACACGCCATGCAGATCGGAGCCGAAGTCTATCACAGCCTCAAGAAAGTCATCAAGGCCAAGTACGGCCAGGACGCCACTAATGTTGGTGACGAAGGCGGATTCGCCGTGCCTGTACAGGACAACAACGAGGCCTTGGATGTGCTCATGGCGGCTATTAGAGATGCTGGTCACGAGGATACTGTCAAATTGGGCACCGATGTCGCAGCTTCAGAATTTTATGTCGCTGAAAACGGCAAATATGATCTCGATTTCAAGAACCCAAATAAGGACAGTTCCCAACAAAAGACCGCGGCTGAGATGATCGAATATTACGGAAATTGGTTCAACTCGTATCCGTTCGTATCTATTGAAGATCCTTTCGACCAAGACGACTGGTCTGCTTACACCAAGTTCGAGGCTGAGTGCGGCAAACAGGTCCAGATAGTCGGGGATGATCTCCTCGTTACCAATCCTAAGCGTGTCAAGAAGGCTATTGATGAGAAGGCCTGCAATGCACTGCTCTTGAAAGTTAACCAAATCGGCTCCGTTACAGAGGCCATTGAGGCTAGTAACATGGCGGCAGCCCAAGGTTGGGGAGTGATGGTCTCTCATCGTTCAGGAGAGACCGAGGACACCTTTATCGCCGATTTAGTTGTGGGATTGGGTACCGGTGAGATCAAGACTGGAGCGCCATGCCGTTCAGAAAGGTTAGCTAAGTACAACCAGCTCATGCGTATTGAGGAGGAGCTTGGTACGGCCGCTGTGTATGCTGGGAAAAACTTCCGCAATGCTGCATAGTAGGTTATTATGATTTACATGTTCTCAACTCAATGATCCATGATTCTTTCAAAACTCATGATTCGATATGTGGTAACTCAAGTGTGTGGAGATCTTCATGCTTATTCGAGTTCATCAGTAAAGTTAATTCGGAGTGACATGGACGAGGCCTCCCGCAAACCGATTACAACACGGCACTGCCAAGCATTCAGCGTTGGGGATAATGACTTACTACTTCGCAATAGTTTACTATTCCTATGCTTCATGGAGCCACGGACATTCAGAGGGAACCGACACGTCGCGATTTGTGGAGGGGACAGATTGTGTGATGCCGAGAGAACGTCTACGAACCATGCGCGGTTAGCTGTCTTCTTTAGTGTGTGAGCTATGTCTAAGCTGTGCCTTGCGGAGGTCGATCGATCAAATCCATCAACGAACCTTAAGTTCATTCAAACTCTTCGAATCATGGCCACTACTATCACTGCTATCAAGGCTCGCGAGATCCTCGATTCTCGTGGCAACCCCACCGTCGAGGTGGACCTTTTCACCAACAACAAGGGTATGTTCCGTGCTGCCTGCCCTTCTGGTGCTTCGACTGGCGAGTTCGAGGCCGTCGAGCTCCGTGATGGTGACAAGACCCGTTTCCAGGGTAAGGGTGTTCTCAAGGCCGTCGCCAACGTTGAGAAGATCATCGCTCCCGCTCTCATCGGCAAGGATGTCACCGACCAGGCTGGCATCGATAAGTTGATGGTTGAGGAGTTGGACGGTACCCAGAACGAGTGGGGCTGGTGCAAGGCTAAACTTGGTGCCAACGCCATCCTTTCCGTCTCCATGGCTGTTTGCCGTGCCGGTGCCGCCGCCTCTGGCATGCCCCTCTATCAGTACATTGCCAAGCTCGCTGGCAAGGACACTGAGAAGTTCACCATGCCCTGCCCCTGCTTCAACGTCATCAACGGCGGTAAGCACGCTGGTAACCGTCTTGCTTGCCAGGAGTTCATGCTCGTCCCCTGTGGTGCCAAGTCTATCCACGAGGCCATCAGGATCGCTTCTGAGGTCTATCACGAGCTCAAGTCCGTGATCAAGGCCAAGTACGGTCAGGACGCCACCAACGTTGGTGATGAGGGTGGATTCGCCCCCAACATCCAGGATATGGATGAGGCTCTTTCCGTCCTTCTCGAGGCCATCAAGAAGTCCGGTCATGAGGATACTTGCCGTATCGGTTGCGATTTCGCCGCCTCTGAGATCTATGATGCCAAGACCGGCAAGTACGATCTTGACTTCAAGAACTCCGAGCCCCATGCCGA